CTCTTTTTCTTTTTTATCCCTCCCTCCTTTTTCCCTCAATGTCCTGGTTGTATCCTGTTTCCTTTTTCTGGCCTCCTGGCAACCTTTGCCCTGTGACTTTTTGCAATGCTGGCCACCTGTGCTTTGTGACCTCCTTTGGCAGTATTTGCCCATCACCGTGCGCAATTTGCCCTCAATAAACCCTCTAATCCTAAAACGCCTCAAGGTACAATTCTCTCTGCCCCTTTATTCCGTCGTATGGATGCCAGCTGACATCATTTATCACCAAAAGCTACTCAATTCTGCTCGGCCATCATGCTAATTAACCAACTTTTGGCTGCTACTGCTTCTGAATTTTTACATTTAAGTCAAAAAGTTTTCTGTCAATGCATAAATAAAAGTTTTAAGATTTTTTTTTTTATCAGATAATAATGGCAGTTAAATAATAGTAGTCCATCATTCCATGAAGGAATGCATATCGCCCACCACCTTTCATTTGAGAGATTTAAACTAAGATCATCTTGTGTTGAAAAATGAGTTGTTGTTTAGGTCAAACCTTAAGAATAATGTTATGCCCAATCACATATGATATGACAAGACCCGTTAAAGCTCTAACTATGAGTTTTAAACTTTATCTTAATATCTGTAAATAAATATTGTCATTATTGTTATAGCTATTATTGTGTTGGAGAAAGTTGATTAGCCATGGAAGTATCTTGAACTAGAGAAATTGCATTTCCTGCAAAAATGCAGTGTGAATGCTTATTGCAGAAGAACTTGCTTTAAAACAGATGAAATTAGCGAAAATGGAACATGCTGAAATATAGCTGAAATGGGAGAACAACCCTAAATTAGCAGAAGAAACCAGAAAAAAAACATATTTGCTGAAACAGGTTTAAATAAGCAGAAATTCGCACATAAATTAGGTAATTAACTAATAAAAAGCTGAAATTAGCAAATAAAAAATGGCTGAAAAATTCCTGAAAAGCCAGAAAGACGCTTAAACTACCTGAAGGAAGCAGAAAGAGCTGTAATGAGCTCCAAAAATGTGAAATTAGCGGAAAAAAAATAAAATTAGCATACAAACAGCTAAATAGTAGCTGAAATAGCAGAAATAGCTGACACTGGCAGACATAAGCTGAAAGGAACATAACAAGCTGAAATTAGCAGAAAGAAGTTAATTAGGCTAAAAGTTTCAGAAATCACTACGAAAAACTTGAATTTATCTGAAAGAAGCAGAAATGACTAGATTTTTTTCTAAAAAGGTATCTGTAAAGGTAGAACAAGCTTAAATTAGCTGAAGCTCAGAGAACATGTTTGCCTAATAAGGCTGAAAGAAGCAGAAATGAGCACAAGAAAAGTGGAAATTATCTGAAAAAAGTTTAAATTAGCCACACACCCACACACAAAAAAAAAAAAACCTGCTGAAACATAGCTTTAAAAAGCATAAAGAAGCTGCAATTACAATTAAGGAAATGGAGAGAGCACATTTTTGCTGAAGTTGGCTGAATTTTTTTTTTAATGAGTGCCAAAAATGTGTAATTAGCTGAAAAAGCTAAAATTGTCATAAACACAGATATATAGTAGCCGAAATTCTAGAAAGAGCTGAAACTTGCAGAAATAAGCTGAAAGGAGCATAACAAGCTGAATTTATTTATTAATTTATTAACTTTTATTTAACCAGGCAAATCCCATTAAGATCACAGATCTCTTTTGCAAGGGAGGCCTGGGCCTGAAGGCAGCCTGCATGTTAGTAGAAATAAGTTAGAAGATGCACAAAAATGTTGTAGTTAGCCGAAAGAATCTGAAAGGAGAACACAACAGTTGGAAAAAAAACAGCTGAAATTAGCTGAATGTTGCTGGGTTTTTTTTATTTGCACAAGGAAGCTGAAAGAAGCTTAAGCAGAACAAAATGTGAAAAAAACAGTAAAAGGTTGTAAACCCATCTAAAGATTTAAAGGATGTAAAATGAACTCAATTCATTTTATGTGAGAAAATAAAAGTGTCAGAAAAGGCTAAATGTTTCAAAAAGCTAAAGTTGCACCAACACCAAAAGTCATAGCAGGATTGTCCTGAACAAGCTGAACAATTTTGATGTATTTGTTGAAATAGTAGAAAAATTGTGGAACGAGAAAGATGCTGAAAAACATACTTAAGAAAAATGGATCACAAACGTGTGAATGCTTCATAAACATTGACTCTGTTAGGTTGACTTCAAAATATAACCAGCAGTAAATGTACATGCAGAGGTTCATTAATGTCCATCAGTGTTTAAAGATACTTTGGTAACCGGCAGACACAGATAATAATAATAATGTTGTTTAAATTATTATTTTGACTTTGAGTCTGCGTAGCAGGTGTAAGAAAGCACAGCAAATAAAAACACTTAAACAAATATTCAGTAAATTATTATGTATTTAGTTTCATAACTTTAATAGTTCAAGTCTCCTGATTTTGATTATACCTCATCTACCACAATGTGCACTTCAAAAATCTATGCCTTTGTTGCAGAGCGGTAAAAAGAAAAAAATGTTAAAACTCTCCTTTAAAATTCACACTTTTCCATTATCATTTATACATTTAAATGGAAAAAGTTGAAAGTCAGACACTTTTCCAGCTTAATAATCTCGTGATGAAGCCTCACTGTGCTGCAGTTCTGACTTAGACTAGATGGTGACTCTGATATCTGCTTTGTTTTGTTTGACCCATTTGCTTTTGTCAGAATAGCATGTTTTCTAGTTTCTATAGGTAGCTGAAGCCTAACCATATTAATGTGTATGTATCCTTGAGGAAAACATTAACTTGTACAATTTCGTAGGACAGTTATGGATATATGCAGTATCAGTGATAAGTGCAGTAAGTTTGGTGCTTTGTTTCAGGCACTCGTTTAAGTCGAACCATATGTACACATCTATCATGGTCTGTAGCATAATTCACAGAATGTAATTTCATTGGCTTCCCCTATAATGATGGATAAATGATGGATATATTCATATGTGTATCCTCTCAATAAATACTGACTTTTTTGCAATCAGAAAAAGAGATTTATGAGTTGTAAAAGATGTGTAGCCAGACATTTTTCTTCTTTACAAAAAGCAGCAGATTCAGGATGTTCAGCAGCCAGACAGATTGGTTTCAGCTGACAAGGCGTATTTATTATCTTCGTATCCTGTGCTTATTGTAAATGCCTTTTATTTGAGTTTGTTTAGTCTTGTCTATGGTTTGATAGCATTCCCAGAGCTTTAGCTGTCAGTAAGGAGTCTTCAGAGTAACCACACACAGATCTGTAGCGTGTTTCAAAGAAGAAAGAAAAGAACAAAGCCAAAATAAGAATGATTCAATCCAAAAATATAATATAATGACATATAGATCGTTATAGGTTAATCCAATGTAATTAAACATTTCTGACTGAAAAAGAAAGATTTAGGATCACTGCCCTTGGTTCAAACAATGTGGTTAAATAATATTATATGTCAGTGGTGCCTTATTCATCAACAGTTGAAAAGAAAAGGTCTGCCCAGCATTTTTAACATTTTTCAAACTGGGAGGGACTCCTACAAATTCTCATAAAGGCAGCAATAATGTTCAGTAAATTTAATTTCTCTAAACCTGCTTACATGTCATCAAGAGACCAAAATATTTATGAAAGAATCTGGAATATTACCTCAGTTTTAATATAGCCGTGTCTGGAATTACTTTTCTTTGAAATTGGTAATGCTGTGCTGTTTGTAACTTCATGGTGAGTTTCCAGTTTTTGAAAAGTCAATTCAATTCAGTTTATTTATATAACACCAAATCACAACAAAGTTGTCTCAGGGCACTTTACAGGAACATTCACATACATAAAAAAAAGCCAATTCGTAAAGTTCTCTATGTAAATCCAGCAGACAAGTTGAATCTTCACTTCTTCACAGTCTCCCATCCTGAGCAAGCACAGTGGCAACAGTGGAAAGAAAAACTCCAGAAGAACCAGGCTCAGGACAAGCAGCCATCTGCTTTGACCGGCTGGTTGATCAACAAATGGACAGAAAGGAAAGACAAATGAAGACAGAATGTCAGGTCCAGGTGTACCTGAAAGACAAAAACACAGAAAAAATGATTACAAATACAAAACAGGTTGAGCAGAGTAAGTAAAGACAGTAGCAGAGTGAAGAAATGTGGTCAGTTTGTCCTCCAGCAGTCTAAGCCTATAGCAGCATAACTAAGGGACAGCTCAGGAAACCCAAGCCAACCCTAACTATAGGATTTATGAAAAAGGAAAGTCTTAATCCCAGTCATAAAACTGGACAATGTGTCAGTCTCACGGACACAAACTGGAAGTTGGTTCCACAAGAGAGGAGCCTGATAAATGAAAGATCTTCCTCACATTCTGCTTTTGGAAACTCTAGGAACCACAAGTAAACCTGCAGTCTGAAAGCAAAGTGTTCTATTAGGAAAATATGGAACAACAAGAGCTGTAATATAAGATGGATCTAGGTTGTTGAGAGCTTTGTAGGTTAGAATGACATATGACCATTATTGGAAAGGTGTCCATCCCACTGAATAGCATGGAGAAAACCTCCAGCTAAAAAAAGTTTAAATATTTATAGCACTGAATAGCTTTTCAGTCATTGGTCATTAGAATCATGTTGGGTTCATGTTGACCGTGTTCATAAAAACTGATACAACCTGAATAGTTGTTGTTGTTGTTGTTGTTGTTGTTCAACCAAACCGTTGTAGTTCTAAGTAACATGGGTTGTGTCAAAACCCACTGAAAAGCTTTGAGTTAAACAGATTTGACCACAGTTGTGTTTTCCTATGGTCAGGGATGAATCTTCATGCTCCAGCATCATAACTGCTTGCCTTGCTGCTGAGCTAACCTTCATGTATGCACCAATCACCCCCTGCCTCCCCCACCCCAAAGCCTGCCGCATTTCCTGTGCTGTGTTGTGATGGTTGTGTTGGCATGACCTGTGTGGCAAGACTTCCTCTAGCATGACAGGTTGTAACTGAAGGTCTCTTAGCAGGGTGAACCTGGAGTGCAGGGACCGCCAGGGCCTCCTGGACCACCAGGTACCCCAGGTCTTGATGGAGCTAGTGGCCTACCGGTGAGTATAATAATAAGTATAAGTGCTATGTGTTGTCATCAGTGTATGTTCCCATACAATGGCAAAATTAGTTCTCTTCATTTAACCTATTGCACCTGGGATACACCCAGGTGGAGCAGTGGGCAGCTATGTAAGCACTCAGGGAGCAATTAGGGATTTGGTGTCTTGCTCAGAGACACCACAACATGTGGGAATGGCTGGGGATTGAACTTGGGACTTTGGGGTCCCAGGTTGGCTGCCCTACCTCTGCCCCATCTCAGTCCCCGTACCAACCTGAATTGAGGACTTCAACATTAATACGCACAAAAATCACACTTAGATAACACAACAGCTGTCATCTTCTGTGTTATGACAAACACTCATTATGAAATGAAAGGCCATTTATTTACAACATCCAGACTCTGCCCTGGCACGCTGAGATCTTTCCTGGACTAGCTGTACGTGTCCTTTTTAAACCTGCTCAGTTTGTTTATTCTTGCTTTAAATTTTAGATCTAGCAGACTGGGAAACCAGAACGTTCAGAGTGCACCAACAATAACCATCACTGCAGCACATAGCTTTGGACAAGATCCAGAATTAAACTTGTTATTAGAATTTCTACTTCACATGGAAAGAACAAACCTGCCAAGATTCAGCCAAAAAAAGGAGAAATCTAACTTTGTAAGAACAAAACTTATGAAACTTTCAAAATTAGGCAAACCCAAAGAGTAATTAGCTGAACTTTTCTAACAAAATGTATTAAAACTTTGAAAAACAAGGGTGCAAATCTTGACTGTGGCAACTGAACAGTGAGTTCTACAGGTGTGTACAGTATATGAGGAGACTGACTGCTGAATAAACTCAACGAACAGTAAACCGCAGAGAAACAACTAAGACGTTAGGAAAAATGAAACAAGGGGAACAAAAGTAAACACCTTCCAAATAAAACAGGAAACTAATTTTCAGGGGAAACATAGCAGCTGATCTAATAAGGTTGAGTTTTGGAAAGGTGCTTTAATCAGTGAAAAATAAATATCTGAAAATGATTATCAGATACATATAAAGACACATTCGCTAACATAAATAAATTACTTTGAAATTCTATTATGGTTTGTCTCTCTCTCTTTTAATTCAGGGAAAACCAGGGGAGCCTGGCAAACCAGGAAAAGACCCAAGGGTGAGTCTGGTTTCATGACACCTTCATCCTCATCTTTTAAAGCCTTTTCAGTTTTGCTCCTCTGACTTTAATCTTATTTCTATACTATCTGCAGCTCTTACCTGGACTAAAGGTAAAAACACACTTTCTTTCCTCAAACAGTAAACTTAGATGGTAGAAAGCCTTGTTCAGCATTATCTTGACATACCACAAAGAGTTTAGAGTTAGACAAACACACTCAGGCCCAAACAAAACAAGACACATAAAATGAGAACCAATTCAAAAAGCCTCTTCGGAGCTGCAAAGTGATTCATCATGATCCGCGTTGCATCACTGAACTCCCTTCAGAGCAGGTTTGCATGTGATACTTTTACTGTCATGGTTTAATAAAAAGGAGAAATGCAAATTTGGATGTTGGAACAGTCTCATACGTAGATCATTCTGCAGAAAACAAACTCATCCCACAGCAGGAAGAACCTTTGAGTAATAAGCGTTGGCATTCGGAGTAACAGGAGTCAGAAAAACAGAAGACTGACTTTGGTTGGATCTTGATGATCTGCTTTGCAACTTTAAATTTCCTTTCAGCATTTAAAAAATATATTTCATTGCTTTTTTTATTTAAGTCCATCTTGTGCATGCCCACAAAACACAGAGCTGCTTTGAAATAATAAATAAAAAGATAATTAGGGGCAAAAATGAGAACGAGAACCTGAAGAACACAAATATTTCTTCTTAACTGAGTTGTGTCTAATAAACTGCAAAGTTTCAGTCAGTATCAGGTTTTAGTTTTCACATGAAGCTGAAAGGATCTGCGTTTCTGCATTTATGGATTGTTAAATGTTTGACAAAAAAATCTCTGCGTGTTTGAACTCCGCAGGGGGAGCCAGGTGTTCCAGGACAAAAGGTGAACTTCTTTTTTTACTTTCAAACATTAATATTTCGTGTATATTGAGGTTATATACCTTTTTAATCAGGTCTCTCTTGTAAATGAGTCCCCGAGGCTCAGTGGGATTAACCTGTATAAATTAAGAATATTATTATTATTATTTAAGTATATTAGTATATGTATAGTATTATTATTATAAATAAAGGTTGAATGAATGAATGTAGAGTTGGAAGTAGTTACATATTCACATGTTCCCCCCTTTCCCTACATTTGTCAGGATTTTTTAATTTAACTTGACTTTTTTTTTTTCTAAACATAACATAGGTAGATATGTGTAAACTAGCAGTCCTTTAAAACTCCTAAAACCAGTGGCTGTTTTTTCACCTTCTTCGTGTGGGATGACATAAAGTGCAGCAACTACTCTGCAGCAGTTTAAAAATCAATCTAAATCAAAACGTAGATCTTTAAAAAGGCACTTTGAATGTTATTAAATAATATTTTAAGTCTGTATCTCACTGGGCCCAGATTGTTGGCAACAAATTGCACTTGAGTTGCTCAGGCCTTGCCCTCGAGTTGCTGTTTTTTTTTCCAGAAACTTTTAAAGGAAAAAGATACTCTCGCAATAGCCATGAAGTCGTCATCTGGAACTTGTCTCATTTTAGGTTTCATGAGCTGGAAAATGCAAGAACTTGAGGATTTGAAACGTATGAAGCCAAATTATGTTTTAGGATTCGATTCAGTTCATTTTATTTATAGAGCACCAAGTTACAAGAGAAGTCATCTCAGGGCACTGAACAGAAACATTCATATATAAAAATAATAATTTAACATTTATCTGAGGAGCAGACTGCTTGAGTTTAACTCCATCACAGAACTCTCATCTTGAACAAGCATGAAGGCGACAGTGGAAAGGAAAAACTCCCTCATGAGGAAGAAACCTTTAACAGAACCAGACTCAGGAGGAGTGGTCATCTGCTTCAACCAGCTGGGTTTGAGAGGAACAGATACACAATGGCAGGTCAAGAATCACGTTAGAATAGAAATAGTATCAAATGAAAACTATTCAATTTGAACAATTCATTTAAGAAAATTAGGTCAATTTGTCCTCCAGTAGTCTAAGCCTATGGCAGAATAACAAGCCGACACTAACTATAGGATTTATCAAAAAGGAAAGTCTTAAGCCCAGTCTTAAAACTGGACAATGTGTCAGTCTCACAGACAGAAACTGGAAGTTGGTTCCACAAGAGAGGAGCCTGATAACTGGAAGATCTTCCTCCCATTCTGCTTTTGGAAACTCTAGGAACCACAAGTAAACCTGCAGTTTGAAGGAGAATAAATTGCAACCAAAATAAATGCAAAATATAATTAAGATACTTTGGTCATTGTGAGACAAAGATATACGTGCACATAATTCCCAAGGTGAAACAAATTGGCCCTGGGATTATAAAGATGTTTGAACTTGAAGGTAAATTATCAATGTTGCAATTTATTTCCTCATTTCAGTTTCAATCAAAGTCCAAGAACAAAATTGTTTATTTTCTTGCAACTTCGTTGCTTCAACTAGTTGCCAAAGCCACAGCCCAGAGTGATACTGGCTTTAAGCTTTGTTAAACACTGTTATAAAACAGGGAGCTGGATACAAATGCAGACACAGGAAGTGGGAAGGAGCACTTTAAGGATCAGGAACTTAATTAATAACTGAAGACAGAGCAAAGCATACACTGGGACTGGTCCATCACAGGGCCCATTTTACAGCACAGAGAAAAACTGTATATTTAAATGATGCAATTCAGGTCTGTCTGATACAGTTATTTGTTTTTAACTTTGACATAATTTTAAAATATTATTTGTTGTTGAAAGTTGTGCACTGGTTGTCTTCAGTTTTGTTTTTGTATGTTCTGATTGTTTAAACATCCTGCAAATCACAAGATGTCTCCAGATCAGTCAAGCTAAAACTTTATTTGATGCCCTACCAACTACCAACTTTATTTATTCAGCTTCCTGTTTGCTGTTAAGAGGCTTATGTGTCTCAAGAAGATAAACTTCAATTTTTTTTTCTTGTGTGTTTTCAAGGGTGACCGAGGTGATATCGGCCCTGCAGGTCCCGAAGGCTCAAAGGTATTTCACCCTCAGTCAATAGTACTTAAACTAAGTCTTTATATTTTACTCTAAGAAAAAATAATAAAACAAAAAGGTTTTACATTTCAAAACTGGGCAGGACAGTGGCTCAGGTGGTAGAGCTGTTTCCTCTCATCGAGAAAGTCGCCGGATCGATTCCTGGTCTGGGGGTCTTTTTGGGTGGAGTTTGCATGTTCCCTCCGTACATGTGTGAGTTTTCTCCGTGTACTCCAGTTTCCTCCCACAGATCAAAAACATGCATGTTAGGCTGATTGGTAACTCTAAATTGTCCCTAGGTGAGAGTGAGAGAGTGAATGGTTGTTTGTCTCATTTGTCTCTATGTGGCCCTGTGATGGACTGGAGACCTGTCCAGGGTGTCCCCGCCCCTCGCACAGTGATTGCTGGACATGGGCACCAGTGCCACCTCACTACTGGAAAATGAAGAAGCGAGTAAAGAGGATGGATGGATGGATGGATGGATGGATGGATGGATGGATGGATGGATGGATGGATGGATGGATGGATGGATGGATTTCAAAACTGCAAAAGGTTGTAGGTTATTTATTTTCTCCCAGTCGACCAAGGGGCATGTGCAACTAAGGAAGATTTCATGAAAAATCTCAAAACATACACAAACTAATCCCACCGTTGTTGGTCCATGAAGTGAGTTTATTTAATCTGTTTTTAGAAAATAAAATAAAATGATGGAGCAAAACTTGAGGGATGGTGGAGTGACTCATACACAACACTGAAAATCTCTGCAGCACAACCAGATTGGAAAAAATAGATTCATTCTGATAACTTCCACACCATGCATGTGCAGGGATTATTTGCAAACATGTTAGAGTCACGGCAGCACGGTGGCGCAACTGGTAGAGCTGCTGCCTCTCAGCGAGCAGGTCCCTGGTTCAAACCCCGGTCCAGGGCCTTTCTGGGTGGAGTTTGCATGTTCTCTCCGTGCATGCGTGGGTTTTCTCCGGGTACTCCGGTTTCCTCCCACAGTCAAAAAACATGCATGTTAAGCTGATTGGTAACTCTAAATTGTCCCTAGGTGTGAATGAGAGAGTGAATGGTTGTTTGTCTCGTTTGTCTCTATGTGGCCCTGTGATGGACTTGCGACCCGTCCAGGGTGTACCCCGCCCCTCGCACAGCGATTGCTGGACATGGGCACCAGCGACCCCCGTGACCCAAAATGGAATAAGCGGGTAAAGATAATGGATGGATGGATGGATGGATGTTAAAGTCACAGTTTTGCACAGAGTTCATCTTGATGCTCCATGTTGGGTTTTTGTGAAACATAATAGTTCTGGCATTTTCAAATAGAGTTCTATGAAAGCACAGATGCTGTTTTGTTGAGTCAGGTATAAAAGCAGCTTCCACCAGAGAATCTATGTTTTCATTGTTAGTTCATCATGATGTTTAGTTCTTGGACATTCTTGCTGAAAGTCATCAAAATGATTCATGATGCTCAACAATAATCTGATTGTCAGTAGGAACAAGGATTCTGGCAGTATTTATGGTTCTTCCTGCCCTCCCGTTTATTGTGGCAGCTGTGGCTGAGTGGTTAGAGCAGTTGTCCTCCAATGGGAGAGTTGGGGGTTGGATTCCCCCAGCTGAAGTGTCCCTGGGCAAGACCTGAACCCTTCATTGCCTCTGATGTGTGTCCCATCAGTGTATGAATGTGATAAAGCTCTGATTATTATCTTTAGAATGATTTGTTCAATTAGCTTTGTATAGATCTAGTAGAGTGCTGTATGAATGAGTAAATGAGGCACAGATTGTTGTAAAGAGCTTTGAGTATCTTGATAAGATAGAAAGGAGCTGTATAAGTACAGTCCATTTATCATTGTCCTCCTTGTGGATCCCATTTGTGGCACCATCCCATCACCTGGGAATCTTCTCTCTTGGTCATCTGGACTTTTTCAGTCATAGGACATGCTATTGTCTTTCTACGAAAAAAGGCAGGTGCCCTGCAAAAATAATACAATACTCACTAAGATGTAGAAAAGAATGTGGCTAAATATCCATATTTGGAATGAAAATCTTTCCATTGATCCATTTTCTTTACCTGCTTTTTCCTTTCAGAGTCACGGTGCACCCTATCTGGTGCCTGACCCCAGCAGCCATGTGTGATAGGCAGGGTACACCCTGAACAGGTCACAAGTCTGCGGCATCTCAATGTCACAGTTGTAAAAGTTGATTTAGAGTAGGTGATGTTCCATGTTGTCTGTGGAGACGTAGCTGTGAGGTTTTCACAGGAATGGGAAGCTCCGGCAGCGAGTAGATGAATTATAGTTTGTGTCTTTTCCTCTGAGTAGCGTAGGTCTCATGGCTATTTTTACAAGTGTTAAAACAAGCAGTTTAATCTGCTGCTATGTAAGATGTAGTGTGGTTGGATCACCCGGAGGACAGTGGAATATATTATATTTGACTGTGGATCATTCATATCCTGAGCAGTTTGCAAACTGTGAGGAAGAAAACAATTTCATGAATAATTGCAGCCGCACTGAAGTTTAACTTGTTGACAGTAGATTTTTATTCTTATTTGTAAAACTTGTGGAGGTTTTCATTTGTGTTCTGGGGTCAAATTGAAAATTAAGTCAACAATCTCCACACGTTTTATATCTATAAAACTCTGAGGGGAGAAACATTAATGTTGAAACTGTTTACAATATATGTGATAAAACAGCGACCTCACAAAAGGAAGCAGGTAGCATCTGCCACCACATAATGTTTGTGACATTCATACATCGGGACGTGTTTATTGGTTTATTGCATAATGGATTGAGGAGAACTGAGGAGAGGAACAGAACGCACACTAACACACATGCACATGGCCTGGATGGGAGCTTAAAAGCTTTAATCTTGGCTTTGAAGAAGTGCAGGGAGGGCGAGTGTGAGCGATGTCAGCTACGCTCTCCTCATACTTGTCCTCGCCACTTTTCCATTGCTCTTCAGTCTTTCTCTAGAGGACACGCAGGAGACAGAGCGTTATCTGTTTAACATTTACACTGTGGGAAGTGAAAACTGCACATTTTTATTCTTTATCTGTCATCAATCTGCTGCCGTCACACTGGAAGAAAACTACAGAATATGTTTCCTGACTGTCTGCAGCTCTTCTAAGGCTGTGACTGGTGGAAAAGTCCTTGCTGTTCTGCTTCTGTACAGAATATTTCCTTCTAGTCTTCAAGTTTTGCTCTATCTCCTACAATTTTCCCACGAAATCCACCCAGACTTTTTTGCTGTTGTTTTTTGCTGTAAGCTCCATGAGTACATCAGGCCAAGTGGAGGTCACTGAGCAGACGTGGAAGTGGCCTCCTCAGGCCATATTATCTCGCTCTTCATCGCTCAATAAACTTCAACGCTTCAAGTAGATTTGGTGCTCCATCTAGTGGACTTTCAGCTGCTGTTACAATAATTACTTCTCTGCTCTTCCTCACAGGGAGATAAAGGAGAAGAAGGAATAAAGGTAGGTTTTCTTCTTTGTTCTTTGATTCAAATATTATAATGAAAATAGCAATAAGTCAAAGACTCGTCCTGATTTTGGCGGTACGGAGTGAGTTTGTGACTTGGGGCATCCACGTCGAACAGAATGTGTTCACATAGACTCACCGTGTGGTCTGGTAGAAAACTCTGCAGGCGTACTGTTTACTGTTCTCCTAGACAACCACTTGCTGCTGCAGACATCTGATGTCTGAACGTTTAAATCTCCCGCTGTCAGGTCCCCGTCAGTCCCGAGCTTCTCCTCCTGTATTCTGATTTATCCCTGGTTGAAAAGACGAGCCTGCTTTGAACTGCCCTGCTGCTTCTCAGAGCTGATGTTTCTGTCCTCTTTGTAGGGGGTGAAGGAAAATGGGGGTTCCCAAGAGAGGGGAGAGACTGAAAGCCATGCACCGAGTTGTGTGTGTGTGTGTGCAAGTCAGGTTTATTTTATCTGTGCGTGGCAATATCACACACATCTCCTCTGCAGTGTGAACGGATCAAGCTCAGTTTAAAGTATTTTATTTATTTTTGATGAAAAAACACTGTGAATGTGGGGGAGCACCTCTGAACATTCAAAACTTGTCTGATGAACACTCATGATTCTGTGGTATAACTGGTTTTATGTCTCCAAGACCTCATCAAGGATTAATGACCAATTACACATTGTCCATGTGGAGTGTGTAGGCTTTGCTGTGAACAAAGTAGTTTATCTGAGTATTTGATCAAATTATCATCCATCCAGAGACAAACGAGACAAACAACCATTCACTCTCTCACTCACACCTAGGGACAATTTAGAGTCACCAACATGCATGTTTTTGGTCTGTGGGAGGAAACTGGAGTACCTGGAGAAAACCCACGCATGCACGGAGAGAACATGCAAACTCCACCCAGAAAGGCCCCTGGCCGGGATTTGATCCAGCAACCTTCTTGTTGAGAGACGAGCCACCGTGCTGCTGCCCATTATTTATCAACCTAATTATAACACTAAAGTCTGTGGATCAGTCCTATCTCTGAAGTTTCTCGTCTTTTTGTAATTACAAGTAAATAAATACCAACAGTATCAGGTAAAATTGTAGCTTAGCTTTTAGAATATTAATTAATAACAAAATAATTATAGTATTTTACATTTACATTACAGACAGTAGAAACAAAATATTTAGTTTTGTCTTGTTACAATGCACTAAATTTAGACATCAATTCTTATAGTTCAGGCCTGCAACACATTGCAAAACAGCTTTTATGTCATTATTATTATTATTATTATTATTATTATTATTATTATTATTATTATTATTATT